GATGCAATATTCAATAAAAGTTTTATAGTACGCAAGAAAATTATACAATAAAATAGTATATGACAAAAAAAAATTATATATTATTAAAGATCTCATTGTACATAGATATTAAATAATTTATTAGTAAAATAGTGTATAAGTTGATTACAATAAAAAAACAACATGCTCACGGGATTAGTAAAAATATTTCATAGATTGAAAGATTTAATGGGATTAGACATTTAAATTAATTAACTTAGATAATTCAAAAGTCTTCCAACATTTTTTTGACTTTAATATATTACATCATGTGTATACTTTAAATATATTAATATTTAAGGAACTTTAAACAACATAATTTTTACAAAAAATATTTTAGGGAACATTAAACAACATATTTACGTCACTCATAAAAAAGATTATATTTCAACATCATAGTTATAGTATTATTTAAGGAACTTGAAACAACATTGTTAAATATTTACGTCCACCCATAATTTTTTACAAGTCGAAGGTAATTAATCCTGCTTCTTTTTAGTTTGTTTGTTTGTTCAAATTTTTCGACAAAACTGATATCATGGATAAAAAAAATTTAATATTAACTAAACTAATTAAATAATATAAAATAATTTGCATTAGACAAATATAGGATGCGGATAATCCTCTCATACCAAACAACGCGATTTCAAAATCGACTCAGATCCAACAATCTTATCCAATATTTCATATAAATAAATATTAAATAAAATGCTTTAAACAGAAATTAGATAAGGAACTTTGAATTTGCCTTTTTTAAGTATAAATAGGCTTTACGTATATTTTTTTGACATCACCGATTATGGGATTTGTTTTGACTAAATCGATGTAATTATAGAATAAGAAAAATACATAAAGTCTTAATTATTTTAGTAAATATTTTATGTGCTTTTTTTTACTTATCGGATGTTATGAGATTTTTTTTTTCTTAAGCCAATTTTTATTTTAGTAAAATTTTTAAAGAATAACTAATATAATTTTATTATCTAACCATCAATAAAATCATTTAATGATGTGATCATTATCTTTTAAATTATAAATAATATTATTAATTTAAGAAAATATTAGTTTTATATAATTAAATAAAGGTTAAAAAATATTACTCGACAAATATTAATTATAATGGATATTAGTAAAATCATTGAATAAATTATTTAAGGAAAAATCTTTAAGATCATATATGGATAATAAATGTAAATATGCAAGCATTTAATGCATATAGTAAAAAAAATTCAAATAAGGTATGCATTAAATGTGTGTTGACTTTTCTTGCTACAATTTTTGGTAAATAGTTTGGCTTTTAATATATATATATA